ATCTCACAATGTCACGCACCGTCACACGCCGTCGCACAGCATCACACACCGTCACACATCGTCACACACCGTCACACACCGTCACACACCGTCACGCACCGTCACACACCGTCACACACCGTCACACACCATCGCGCACCGTCGCACAGCATCACACACCTTCGCACAGCATCACACACTGTCACACACCTACGCACAGCATCTCACAATGTCACGCACCGTCACACGCCGTAGCACAGCATCACACACCGTCACACACCATCACGCACCTTCGCACAGCATCACACACCGTCACACACCGTCGCACAGCATCACTCAACGTCACACACCGTCTGATGGGTATCCGGAAAGCCTCGACATTTTATCTCGGAAACTAAGAAGAAAAGAGGAGAGAGGGAGAGAGAGAATCGATATACTGTACTGTACGAACATCTCTGCAACTAGCCCTGCCGGAGAAATGTGCTCCAACTCCTAGCTTGGCGGGGTGGGGTGGGGGGGGGGGGGGTGGGGCGGGGGGGGGGGGGATGAGCTACCGGGGAGGGAGGAGGGGTGTGAGGGGAAACATAGCCCACCTTCCACCGCAGCTCTTTTTTGTCGCCCCAACTTCGCCCAAAAGGCTCGTCTTTGTCGCTGTACTGGAGAGAGCTGCGCGTCACTAAGCTGCGGCAGAGTGAGGGCCATAGGCCGTATCATTGCAGTTGCGTGTCACGGAGCAGCGTGCTGACCCGACGTCACGGTATGACTAGGGGTTCTCTCTCTCTCTCTCTCTCTCTCTCTCTCTCTCTCTCTCTCTCTCTCTCTCTCTCTCTCTCTCTCATTGCGCATGCCTACCAGCCCAGAGAAGCTGCGTCGATGACTGAGCTTAATGACAGTGTAGGCCAGTACTGCATGGAATGCTTTAGTGCTGATCGAGACTCTCTCTCTCTCTCTCTCTCTCTCTCTCTCTCTCTCTCTCTCACACACACACACACACACACACACACACACACACACACAGAATCAGGTGTCCTCCCTTTCTGGGTTGAAGCGCACTATGGCCAAATGGTAACAGCCGGCTTGTGGCCCCTCCTCTCAATCCACCTGACGAGGAGGAGGTAGAGGAAGGTGGGGAGAGGGAGGTTGACAGGACGAAAAGGAAGGGAGGAGGAGAGGAGGAGGACGACGACGGGGAGGAGGACAGGGAGGAGAAGGAGTGGCGAGAACAACGAGGAGGATGAAAAAGGAGGAGGAAGGCTAGGAGGAGGGGCAGGAGAGAGAGGACGGGAGGAGGAGAAGAAGATTAGGTAGGATGTAACCTGTCCAACATCGTGGTTGCCAGTGGAAAATGTTCCGGTAGGTCGAGCATGCTATACTTGGAATTTTGCTCTTATGGAGGGCATTGTATGAGTCCCGGAGTTATCGATTTCTTGATTGATTGGATTGCTCGACAGATTGGATTGATTGATTAATTCATTGATTGTTTGATTGATTGATTGGATTGGATTGATTGATTGATTGATTGATTGATTGATTGATTGATTGGATTGATTGATTGATTGATTGATTAATTGATTGATTGATTGATTGGATGGATTGATTGATTGATTGATTTGATTGGATTGATTGATTGAGTGATTGAGTGATTGATTGGATTGATTGGTTGATTTGTGTTTGATTGATTGCTTGGATTAAGTGGAGAAATGATTGATTAGGCAATGAAATTGATTGATTTCTACATTGCCTCCGCTTCGCTTCGATGGTCTTCGTCGCGCTTGAGCCAAGAGCCTCTTGCCGATCTGATCCACCCACCCATCACATCGGACGGTCCATGAGAAGCGGTCGTTGCCTCTATATCCATCCATCCATCCATCGCTTAACTGGCTAGAGGACTTAAGGACAGTAATAGGATGTTAAGTCCTATTCGAGCCCTTTAGTGAGTTAAGTGAAATGAACAATTTTCCTATCTGATCGATGCTCGCCGCAATATTTCGGGGAAACTATTTTTACCTATTCCTTTCTAAATACTAAATACCCTACATGGACCCAAAAAAA